ATATAGCTACCACTTGTCCTTGGTAGTTTTAGATTTTGTTAATCTGTTTATGTAGCTTTCGAGCAGATCTTGTAATTATTTGTATCAGCTTTGTAAATTCTAAGTCTTAGAAGCTCATGATTCGTACTACTAATTCTTGGGTTAATTGTAAAAGTTCAGATAATTCTTCATTATTTTCTTACAATTTTATTTGGATTGTATTGACTGTTAGTTGGCTTACCTAGCGGGTCGAGTTAGGTGCCATCACGACTAGTGATTTTTGGGTCGTGACATCCTTATTACACCACACTAGAATAGAACTTATTATATTCGAATAAAAAATGTAAATATTACACTTAGATAAGGTCCCATTGCACTTATATCTGGCAACAAATTAACTCCTTGCTTCCAAGATTAAAAACAGCCTTTAATTGCTAAATTACTGCTCCTTGGCCTTTTTCCCCTCTAGGCACCAACTCAAACAATTATTTTTTTAAACAGTTGTATAACTTCTTCAAAAAAGAAAAAACCCCATTTTTTATTTCCGGGAATTTAAATAAGCAGCTCAGTTTTCGTTTTTTAAAACCTTTGTGAACTTTCTAAATACTAAATGGCTCATATTTTGAAGGAATATTTTCTAATGCGAGTAGTGATTTTCTATTTTAAGATTTAAAATTTCTTCTAATAATTAGACATAGATGCAGGGAAAAAACGTTAAATCTTCATTATACTTTTGGCCTAGTATTTTCAATTCATTAGGAAAAAGTTTTATTTTATTCTTGATCACTAACGTAACTCCAAGTAGAAGCGTAAATTTGAACTTTTCTTTACCTAGAAGTTCATGTTGGAGCTCCATTAATGGTAAGCAAATACAAGAGATGATTTACTATCATCAAGTGTATGAATGACCAAAAGTAAAATTGAATAATTTTATTTGGACCTTTTTCCCAATTAAACTTAGCTTCTCATCAATTACATCACAGGGCGGCTGAACTATAAGGCAGCTAAAGCAATGGCCTGGGGCCCCAACTTTTTGGGGCTCCCATTTTTTTTCTAAAATTGTTTGTTATATATTATAAAAAAAAATAAAAAATCGTGCATATACTATTGGAAGCTAAGTTTTTTTGGAAGAAAGTAATTTTTTACTTTTTATGTGGGGTCCGTTGGTGTCTAATTTCTTACCTAATTATATCATACCACCTAACATAAGCCCACATGACTATTCATATATATTTTTGTCTCTTTCACTTATTCTTACTCTCTTATTAATTATTCCTATATTCCATTCCAGAAAATTTACCGTTGTGTGCTTACAAAAGATCAAAGTTTGCTTTTGGGTCTCTTCTTCAAAATTTCAAGCATTGCAACAAGACAAAAACAACATTTATTTTGAAGCAGTGCAATACTATTTCGATACCGTTATATCAACTTATCAAATTCTTGAGCCAGGTTTTATTATTCTAACCTTATATTATATTTTTTCATTGAAAATTTGTCATTATTGATATTATTACTTCCTAAGTATATATTCTTGTTTTAGTTATTATTAGATTTTATTCAATTTAAATATGTCAACTAGAAAATATGAATCCGGTTATGCAAAAAGAGAAAAACAAATGTGAAGAACTAATTAAATCCCAAAAGGGAGCCCTTGATAGATTTTTAACAAATAATAAAAAATTTGAATTAGAAAACATGGGAGGATGTTCTTCAAATGAACAAGTCACTGATAGAGTTGAGTTAGATGATAATAACATCCAAGAAGAAAATCTAGAAGAAGTTACTACGAAATCTGATATAGTTCCAGAAAATCAAGAACTCTTAAATGATTTGAATAACTGCATCTCTAAAAATATATATGACGATTTTTTTTTTAAATTAGGGCCTCTCTGTGAAGTTTGGCTTTAGGCCCCCAATCTTGTTAAGCCGGCCCTGTTACATCACAAGCAAATTCTTCAACTTCACAAACAATGCAAGCTAAAACGAGGTTAACGTAACTACTTTAGTGTATATATATTGGAAATCGCACAAGTGAATGAATGAATTGTTGAGTGAGAATAATAGCGCAAAACTTTTAAAATCTGCTTATTTTGATAAGTATTTTTTTCAAAAGTGATTTTCAAAAAATACTTTTGGTGAGAATCGGTTTGTGTTTGGCTAATTAATTTAAAAATTACTTTTGAGCAGCAATTAGTGTTTGACCAAGTTTTTAAAAGATGCTTCTAAGTGTATTTTTCTCAAAAGTGCTTATGGGGATAAACTATTTTTTTCTGCTTCTCAAAAACTACTTCTACTTCTGCTCAAAAGTACTTTTTTTTCTTCAAAAAGCTTGTCCAAATACCTTAACTTTGATAAATAAAAAAATACTTTCGACAAAAAAAATATACTTTTGGCATGCTATAAACCTACCTGCTAGTAGATTAGAGTCACAGGACAAATGGACAATTCCCTTCTAAAGAATTTACAAAAAGTTATTTTGTCTAAGGGTGTATTTGGTACGAAGGAAAGCATTTTTCGGAAAATGTTTTCCTCGTCAATTCATTTTCTCCCAATTGAAGGAAAATATTTTCCCTATCAAAAGAAGGAAAAATATTTTGCAAATTGTAGTTTCAACTTTCCCCACCCTATTCCCCATCCCCACCTACCCNTCATGATATATTTTTTTTTTAACAAAAAAATTACTTTCTTTTCATGATGTAGAAAAAATATTTTCTTTCATTTCAACAAAATGAGTATTTTCTTTTCATGATGTAGAAAAAATATTTTCTTTCATTTCAACAAAATGAGTATTTTCTTTTCATGATGTAAAAAAAGTATTTTCTTTCGTTTCAACAAAAAAAATATTTTATTTTAATGACATAGAAGAAGTATTTTCTTATTTCAACAAAATGAGTATTTTCTTTTCTTGATGTAGAAAAAATATTTTTTTATTTAAATAAAATGATTACTTTATTTTCATGTTGTAGAAAGAGTACTTTTTGTTTCAACCAAAAAAGAGTATTTTCTTTATAGTTATAAATTTTAACGTTGTTTTGCGTAAAAAAGTAAAGCAACACATTAGTTCCTTTAGATTTGCGTAAATTTTTAATAGAATAATTAAATTATTGAATAAAATAGAGTTTTGAAAAAGTTGGATATTTGGGGGGAGGGGGAGCAAGGAAACATGGGGACTTGGGGGAAGGGGATGATGAGAGTAGCATAAATTTTTTTTTTTTACTCTCTAACCAAACACTAGAAAATATTTTCCGGAAAAAGTTTTTCACTCAGCAACCAAATAAGAGAAAATAAGTGATAAAACTACTCATTTTCCATGAAAACATTTTCCTTTGTACCAAACACACCCTAAATGTCATTTCACAAAATTTAAGAACCCAAATAGTAATTGGAAAAGGGGCCAAATATACCCCTCTACTTTCATATATTGTCTACATTTAACCCCCATTATACTATCAGACCAAATTTACTCCTACATTCAATAAACTTTTAAAAATACCCCTTGATCTGTTAAATAATCCAAAATCCCCCAAATTCCTTTTATTTAAATCACTTGTTGTTCTTCTTGGTCCACTATTTTTAAAAATTACTATTGATGTGAATGCTAAAGTTACTAGACTATACAAATTATTCATATTTTTTTTAAATTACCAATGCACCCATTTCTCTTTTTGTAATAAATAAAATTGGTTTAAAATTTTATTTATTTTCAATCATATACACACCGTAGAATTTAGTGGGTCTATTTATTGTGTATTATATGCAGCTAATCATCATGTATGTACAATATATTCAAATATATTTTGTCATTGCTTGGTTAGTATAGAGTTCGATCGACTAATTTAAGAGTGCACAATGTGTATGCATTTAATTAAAGCAAAGTTGAATTAGATAATGTAATGTAAAGTCTTTGGAACTTCAACTTCAATCACTAATACTTGCAAAGTCTCCATATATCTGGTGCAACAAATTTATTAAAATTGAGATGTTGTAAATACTTTTAGAATTTAGAAAAGCTACCTAATTTAGATTTTTCACTTTACTATACTTTGTTTATTCGGTTGTATTATTTAATATTTTTTCTCTTATTTTTTTTTCTAATTCAGAAAGCGGGTAAATGCTAATTATTTTAAAAATAGTGGACCAAGAAGAACAATAAGTGATTTAAATAAAAAGAATTTGGAAGATTTTGGATTATTTAACAGATCAAGGGGTATTTTTAAAAGTTTGCTGATTGTAGGGGTAAATTTGGCCCGATAGTATAACGGTAGGGGTAAATTTGGCCTGATAGTATAACGGAGGTTAAGTGTAGACAATATATGAAAGTAGAATGGTATATTTGGCCCTTTTCCCTAATAGCTTGTTTGGATGGTTGTTACTCATTGTTTTATAATATATTGTATTGTGTTGTATTGTATTGTATCGTTTTATAAATACAATGTTTGGATAGATTGTATTGTTTGTTGTTGTTAAATAACATTTTGCTGTTTGGTTTGACTGTATCGTACGGTACTGTAATTGATAAGTTTACTAAAATGGCCTCAATTATTTAAATATTAAATTAAACAAGAATTACACATAAAAATAATTTAAGAAAACCCATTTCTACTAATTTATAACCAAATATGTCTTATAAACAGATTAAACAATTAAATTCATATAAATTCTAACAAAATTAGTAATTTTACGTTGGAGTTGGAAGCGACAGAAGTTACGGAAAAAAAAGGGACGAAGACAAAGTAGATTATAGGTGTGAGATTTGGAGTTAAAATAAAAAAAAAGTAAAGGATAAAATAGAATTATAAAGTAATAAGTTAGGGCATAATTGGAAAGAAAAATAAAAAATAATCTCGCCACACCAAATCCATTGTTTCAAAAAATGAAACTTTTTATTATTTCGTAACAATGAACTTAACAATAGATACAACCAATTTTAACGAAACAATCAAAAACACTTATTATTTTGGAATACCAATACATACGGTACAAATAGTAACAACCATCCAAACAAGCTAAAGTAATTTCCAATTTATATCCCTTTCAGCTGATTGTTGAATCAAGAACCTTCCTTTTTCAGTTGAGGTTTAAGATCCCAAATTAGTAATTCCCAATATTTAGAAACTTTCATCAGAAAAACACGATTGTTGAATCAAGAACCAACCTTTTGCGGCTGGGGTGTTGAAATGGAGGTGGTACAACATAGGTGGAGGTTAAGGTGGTCATTCAAGAATGCTACAATAGTTGTCACTTTGTTCAATTTGATTGCTTCCCTTTTTCTACTTTACAGCTTTTTCTCTTCTTCATCTTCCAGCAAACCATCTTCAGGTTCCCTTCTCTTCTTGCCTTTTTCCTTTTAAATTTACTTCATTTTCAGTTCAAACAATTCTTGGAGTTTTTTTTTATTTTTTATTTTTTATATCTATAAATTTTGTTTTTTCTATTTTATTTTTGATGGGTTTGTGTTGAAATGAAGCAACATATGACAGATAATTGAAAAAGTTCCTAACTTTTATAAGACAGAGGTTTTGTTGTTTGATCAAGAACTGTAAATATGGTTGCTTTTCCTTTAAATTTGCTTCATTTTCAGTTCAATCAATTCTTCGATTTTTTTTAAAATCTAAAAATTGTGTTTTTTCTGGGTGTGTTGAAAGAAGCAACAAAACACAGAAAATTGAAAGTGCTTAATTTATTTAGGGTAGAGGTTTTGCTATTTGATCAAGAACTGGAAAAATGGTTACTTTGATTGGGAGTTGTTGCATTTGGTGTTCCAAATTTTCACTTTGGAACCATTTTCTGTGTAACTGAGAGCAAATGAGGCTAAAAAGTTACTGCCTTTCTCTTGTATTCCCTCTAATGTAAACTATTTAGTGGAATTTCTTGCTTAAATAGCACAAATAAGGAAATAGTGTCACATAAAAATGAAAAAGAGGGAGTAGTAGTAATTGCTGGCATGTAGCGAAATAAAAGGCGGAGGTGTAGATAGCCAGTTTTGCTCTTAAAAAGTTGTTTTAGGATATTTCATTTTCCTGTCAAATAACTATCACTAGATCTCCTAATCTTGGTGGCTAATATGGCATCTTGATGTTTGAACTGCAGTTGAAATGTATATAAAGGAAGCAGAAGAGATTCGCCGTGCTATGCTGCCTGTGGAGCTAATTAAAAGAGTGAGTACCGTCCTTTTTCTATGTTCTGCTGTAGCTGAATAGTTAGGACGTGTGCATCAATCGTACTAGAAATATCTAGTTTTCTATTTTGTGAGACTTCTGGAGAATACAAAATCTTCTGTCTTGATAGGTGAAGGAAATACGGAAAGAAGCATATGGCGAACCAGATCCTGTCCAACAGAAGGATGCAAAACAGACTGCTGCAGTAGACCTCATATCTAGACTGAACAATTATCGGTCATATTCTGATTCAGGCAGCGTGAAAGGTAAATATTCAACAACCCTCTGGACACTCTTCTTTCCTTCAGACACAAAAAGACCTCTATAACACTTAGCCATAAGTTGAGTCCATCAACTATGTCTTCTGCCATTACAGTCAGTCCGTCAACTATGTCTTCTGCAGCTCTTGGTATCAGTAAAAGAGAAATTTTGGTGCTGATTGAAATGGCATAGCATGATTCAGTCAGTCGTATATCTTCTATGACTCACACTTATTGTTATATATTATATCAGTCATCTGATTTGGTTATGAATTGAGGCCATACAAAGGACAACTTAACATCAACTTTATCTGTTCTATTTCAATGCATGTTAGTCCTTGGAGAAGTAGTTTTAATCAGATGAGCTCACATATGTGTAGGACCCTAGCTTGATACTCTACTTCTACACTAGGTCTAACACAATATGATGAAATTGGTCGTGCCCAGAGAATATCCAACAATCTGAGTGACCTTCGTCTTTTTATATTGGAGCTCTTTTGATAACTGTGAATGTGGATTACTGAGTCTCAGTAACCTTTATATGGAGTTTGAAGAAACTGACCCTCTACACTTACTATAAATATTATCTGTTCATGTGATTGTGAAATAATTCAGTTTATCAATCAGTTTTCAAAATCTTCAGTCTTCCTGTGACTTCCCCTGGATTTGTTTCCTCTAGTGTGTCCGAAATAGACTTCCCTTGTAAGATGAGAATGTTTATCTTGGACTATGCTACCTCAATTCCCAAAAGGTACTTAATTTATTTTTTATTTTCCCATTCTTTGGCCTAAAGGTGGTTAAACAAATTCTGCTTGAGTTGAGATAAATACATTTATCATGACAATCACGAAGCAAGAAACTGAACGATCGGCTTCACTTCAAGCAGTGTTGTGAAGAGCGTGAAGCGAGGAAAAGCGACAACCCCCATTTCGCTTAAAGCGAGAAGCGAAGCACTCGCTTTTTTGAAGTGAAGCGGAATTTTAAAAAAAAAATTAAAATAAGGGGAAGGGCAGTATACCATTCTGTTAAAAACTAGGCAGCATAAAAACAATGATAGAAGAACTGGGCAACATTTCAACGGAGAGGAGAAGACTTAGAAAGAAGAACCGAAGGTAAAAAAAAAATATTCGCCAGCATTTCGTTGCTATTTGGATGCTTAAACAGTGAAAGGAGGAGGAGGAGGAGGATGAACACCCTTCTTTTTTAATTAAATAGGCCGGTAGCTCTTTAAAACAAAGAAGCACACGCTTCGCTCAATTCGCTTCGCTTCGTCGCTTCTCGCTTTTTAGTGGAAATCGCACGCTTTTGTCTACCTGAGTCGCTTCATATAGCAGAAGCAGGTAAGGGGTCGCTTCTCGCTTTAAGCGAGGAAGCGAGCGCTTTTCACAACCCTGATGTCAAGTCATCCCAAATTGTTGGACTGAACGACACAACTAGTCTTCGAGACCCCATAATATAAGAAAGTCGTGGAATGCATAAGCCTCTTTGGAGATAGGGGCGACTTTCTTTTATCCCATATAATGACCAAGCTCGCTTGCGCTCTCTCGTGCGTTATCCTATTCCGGTTCGATCAATGCCATTCTTCGTTGTATACCTGACAAATTTGGAGGTGTAGCCGCAATAGCATCAGTTTTTATGTCCGTTGGTCCACCAAAAAGCTGTGCGCCCCCTTCTGGATAATGAGCCAGAGTGAGAGCCCACAATAAGCTAATGGATGCTATCTCTGCGGGATAATTAATTCCCCCATTTTAATTCACGGATAGCACAGTTGAAAAGACGTAAAGGTATCTGCGAGCCTGCTTCAGTCCTTGCTACATTTCCCATCTCCTCTCTAGCCATCTCTACATCTGCCAGAATCAGAACATCGACCCAATTCTGGCATTTATGGTGGTGGACATACTCGATTGGAATGGGAAGAACTACTCATCCAACGAGTTGGCATACCTCTTAGCAATCCCTTAAAACCGAGCTTGCCAAGCGCAATGTTTAAAAAAGCGATCGCTTCGTCGCTTTAAGCGAGAAGCGAAGCGAAGCGACAACTCG